CCTTGTGTCTCGATCTTTGGCTTAGCGAGCTTGATAACAATAACTGTGTATTATTTCCTGATTGGCTGCAGGGCATGCCTCGGGATCCTGTAAACTTCACGCACACAGGTGACTGCATGAACAACTGTTCTACTGTGCACTTTGTAAAAACTCATTTCCTCGCAGTAGAAGCTGCTCCCACCTACGCTGTCTTACCTGACTTCTGGCTTGAGAGAACCTTCTGTAGTAGACAACCACCGGCGATAAAATCGCTGGCAATGTGTGCCTTGAAGACACTGCTGACAACTGTATGACCTTCCATCTTCGGCGCCACGCCACGCAAGTGGTCACCCGATTACAGCTATTGGCCTGCTTATGGGGACAGCCAAGCACAGGTGACATAAATTAACATTGACTTGGCAACTGACCAAGCGGCCAGTGACTCAATTGCGCATGACGCTTACGCATTTTCGCTCACATCACGCCAGTAGACAGACGTGCGCGCAGGCCCCGAGCTTGCCGCGCATCGGGGGCCTCTGATCACCTACAAACTGATGAAGCCGACGTGATCTTATGGCCGTGGATTCAGTTAAAAGGTAAAACTCTGGATGCTGAGATCTTCAGGTCCAGTTCCGTAGGAGAAAAGAAGAAATGGGACGCCAAGTGGACGGAATAGTGTACGCTGTATAGAGGCAGCGGAGAAAAGGTTAGAGGAAGTTGACTGTCGGACGAGTGCATAATCACTAGCGAGGCCCTTTTTAAGTCGGCCTTGAAGATACTTGGCCAGACCGGGGAAAAAAGTTTGCATGCACTACGCGCAGTTTTCGGCACATGTGATTGGCTGTTCCAGAAGCGAGTCGAGACTTGCCATCACGTGACCTCATGCACGGCTTGACGCCGAAGGTGGAAGGCGTCACAGGGTGACTACAGTCTAATCACAGCCTCCTGGCGCGCGTGAAATCAAACGTCAAAAATTCTTACTCTATTTAATTTGACTGATTTCCTGTGACACTCGTTTTTACCGATAGGAAAACGCAACTGACCACATTTTGTGACGAATGGAGATAATGTTATCAAAATGACTTAGTCACGGAATTCCAACCATATTGTGAGAGCAGTCCTTCAACTGTGCAAACATCAGCTGATTTCTCCCCTTTTGGACACTTGTCAATATCACCGACATCTTTACTCGTGATATTCTCCCAGATGTTCAATTGCCTTCTGCGCCTAACTCGATGAAACTACCCTGCGTTCGAAACGCTCTGTAACCTTTCCCATCTTCGATCCCAGACGACAGTGGAACTCTTCATTGGCGGATTCGACTGACTTAGCATTCATTGGGATGAACTGTGTCGCACCCTCTCCCCTCACACCAACGTGCAAACTCACTGGCACAAGTTGACGAAATCAGTCCAGCACACCCTCTGGCTGCTGCTTCAACTGCACCTCTGCACAGATCACAACATCAGTCTTGCCTCAGCTCCGAGCAATATCTGACGCCATCGCTACGCCCTCAAGTCGGCATGTGCACTAGATATACTCATGCATTTAATCGTTCGACTCCTCACTTTGGTCGGTGTCTGGGGACAGCCAGTCACAGGAGACATAGATGAATCTTAAGATTGCCCTAGCGAACTTGAGAGCAATCTTTTACGGCCTTAAAATTCAACTTGTGCCGCAAAACATACCTGGATTTCTGTACTCGACTGCATAAGATTGTCGTAATTTTGCAACTTTAAGGCGTCTTGCTTTGAAAATTCCAAGTGCGACTAAAAATGAAATTTCAGGCGCGTGCCATAAACACCTCCCGGCATGCAAGCTTTAGTGATTTCGGCACTACAGACGGGCCTACTTAGCAAAACTCACCCATGAAAACCTCGACCAAATAATTTAATCAAGCTGACTGGTCGTGCGATCATCATTTGAACGATAAAGCGAGAGGTTTGCGGTACTGGTGACAAGTTACTGGTCCTGTCCAGGGAGACTCAACATCCTCACATCATTGAGAAATATACCCAAAGCGGCCAACGAGCTGTTTTTTGGGTCCTTCGGTCCAACTCAACCCTTCGAATTACCCCAAAACGTTCCGATTAGGTCACGGAGATTCCTCTACCAATTCAGACAACTGCGTTTAAAGTGCGTTTTTAATAGTGAAGAGCCTCTTTCAGTCGTACGCAAGCTAGCCCGTTAGCGATTAGTTCCCCTACAAGTAATGCATAGTTCTGCTACTCGGGCGTCCCCAGCAAGGAGACGCATGGATCGGGCAAAGAAGGAGCTTACTTCCGGGATCTTGATTCCCCAAGAGCCAGTATTATCAAGCTTAATATGAAATCTTCGAGGAACTTTCGCACTCCTAACCGTTCAAAAGCAGGAACCTGTTTCCAAATGAGTGCCCACATCTTCGTGCATGAACCGGATTTGTGAAGCGCGTTGGCTTTTGCGGTCGTCGAAACATGGGCCACAAATACTGAAGTCGGTTTTCTGAGAATTTGGAGTACAGGTTGAAGTTATCTCCAGTGCTCTGGCTCAAGAATCTAACCAAAAGCAGTAGTGGTATGTGAATGTAGATGAGAAGAAGCGAACCCGATCAGCATTCGCGCTTATAAACCACTTCCACTAGCGAGAGAAAAGAACGATCGTGCGAAGAGGTATATTAGAAAAAATGTCAACAGTCAGACGAAAAGGCAACGGAGCGCGATCAGCGTGTACACGGAGTTTTTTCTTAACTAAGTTAGTTTAACCTTTAGAAGAAGACACAGCTAAAACACGGGGACTTTATTTAAAGACTAGGCAACGAATCTACGGAAGTGAGCTGCAAATGAAAGCTAGTTGGGCGTGTTACACCATGGCCTCATTCAGATGCTTCCTGGCTTCCAAATTCTCCGGATCTGGCATACTATCAAAGTCAGGCATATCGGGGATGCGCTCAGGCATTGGAGCAGCCTTGGGTACTGGTCGGGGACGGTTAGTGTCAATGAGGCGAACACGGTTGAAGTAGCCCAGTTCGGGTCGTTCCTGACCCATCTTCGTTTTTATACATTCATCCAGCGGGTACTGGAGCTTTCGACAACTGCAAGATGCAGAAGAGGCTGAGAACTAAAGACTATTAAAGCAGTGCAAGCATTTACTGTTAATAAAAAAACCCCATATTGAGAAAGGAAACAAGGTTGAAAGCAAATGATAAAAGGCCACCTACAGGGAAAATAAAAAACCACTAATCTTGGCAAGTTGTCCAGCGTCAAAACTCACAGAACAGAACACAGATCCATTTTGCGAGTAAAACGGTACCGCGCGGATTAAAGACACATAAACCAAACTACGAAAATGCTTTATAAAAAGTAAGCGATGAATAAACCGTTCAAATGGGGACATGTTAACCAGTGCCCTCCATAAGACCATGGATTGCAAAGGAGGAGTGAAACGTATCATATAATGGGGCCGAAAAAAATATAGTGATTGATCACTATGCCGTTAAAATGTAATACTCTAAACACAAAACGTGCGATTAGGTGAAGCCTCGACGACCGTGGCGATGCACGAATTAGGACCAGTAAAGTAATAAAATGAAAGCAAAGCTATCGTGTCCCTTGTAGTGGCTGCGGCTACCATGGTTTCAGGTTTCTCCAGTTTATTGCATCTAGAATATAATTTATGGGCAGCTGCCGGCGTCGGCAAGTATGTGGTGAACCTCGGAACCAAGGTGGTGGGGCCCATCGGGACTGTCCAACAATAGAACAATATCTGCTAGGTGAAGACGAAGATGAGTGGAACAAACAAGCAGTTATAGAGAAGCAGCCTAACTAAGCTGGGAAATCGGCGACTTATAGGGAAGTGGCAAAAAAGCGTACTATAATATAGCGAACGCGTAATAGTATCCAACAGTACACTATCCACAACCACAACTTTCGGCTTAGAGACATGATGTGTACAAAAAGTTATGGTACGGCATCCGCGAAAACCGACGTGTGCGGGAGTCTGCCAGTATGCGAACTGGAATCCTCTGGCCAAGAAAAGGAATCTGTACTGGAACATGAAAAACCTCAAATCTGTGTAAAATAATTATCCTATCCAGATTTGGCACCTGAACTGATTATAAGTAAGGATCCCGGCCCCAAAAATCATAATACTACGATCCGACGTTTATTACCTCTACTACGCTGGTGGGTAGGAGAACTCAGATATTACAGTTGTATCGTAAAAAGGCAAGTAAAGTGTTCGCTTACATTGTCCACATGCGGTCGACGGACCCAGTTACTAATACAAGAACATTTACTGTCTATCACCCATGCTCAACGCAAATTCCAAAGGAAGAGAACTATATGGCTGAATGGATCCGAAGAGACATATAAAGCTCGAGTATGCAGCTGTTCTA